TTTCCCCTACCCCTCCCACTTCCCCTACCCCTTTGGACCTTTTCTTCCTATTTCCCATTATCAATTATTCATTCTAATCATTGGTACATTTTAGGTGTACAATATAATGACATTCATCATTGGAAATTTGCACCTTTACATAATCTCTCTTGGTTCTTATTTTCCCCCTTTCCCTGCTCTCCCTTCAACCCCTCCATCCCTCCCTATTTACAAAGACTGCTTCTATTTTTTCATTTTCTCATATTAATTCCATTCCCTTCTTTCCTTTCCCCTACCCCTCCCACTTGCCCTTTCCCTTTGCCCCTTATAACTTCTTTATCCCAGAAACATTGCTTCCTTTTTCCTAACTTTTGTGCCTCGATACCTGAACAACATGTCATATACTCAAAAATGCTTATTGAAGAGATTTGCTCAGGAGATATATAGGAAAAATAATTAATATTCTGCATGTATAATGGTAAAATAATGCTATGAATAAAAGGCAATACTATGTATATGAAGACTGAGATATTTTTATATTATCTATGACCTGTAAGGGGGCATTAGATTGGATGTAGGTGAACAAGAGGAGAAGGCTTCAAAGGTCGCTTGATTCTTCACCATGAGATCTGTAATGCCATGTAATGGACCCTCTTCATCTACTCTCAGTGGAAATGAGGCAGATGGTCAGGATAGTGATAAGGTTTCTACTCACATGTATGAATAGCATTTCCTCTGGGTCTTTGTCAGTTCCTTTACCTTAGACATATCTCAGACTTGGCATGGTATCACTTATTTGAGCAAGGTAAGTACAAATAAAGAGCAAAACAAAGGAGTGATAGAAGAAAACAGGGAGATAGATTTTTTTGCAAATGGGAAGGGATGCTGGGGACTGAAAACAAGAGAAAAAGGAAAGAGAGGAGGAAAGAAAAAGATTTAAGATGTGTCAGGTGTTTATACCAAATATACACCATGAATGCAAACATTAAGTGTTGTAAACATGAACTATAACTAATAATAATAACAACAACAATGAAAATAGGGATCAGAGATTTAGAGATGGAAGGAGGGAGGTGGTTGAAGAGGAGAATAAAAAAGAATCAAGCTGTGTTATGTACATATACCTACTCCTTGAGATTAATGTAAATTATGTATAGCAAACATGTGCTCCTAAAACAAGATGAGAAAAAAAGACTTGGCTCCTTAGTATTTGTATGTTTATTTTTCTGTTCCCTGGAAATATTATAAACTCGTAGTTTATTCCTCTTATATTACCCAATAAATGTTTATTGGACAAATATAGCCCACAATCCAGGAATGAATAAGATTAAGTAAGACTGAGGATTATTTTGGGTTTGCATATGGTAGGATTAGTAGATGCTCACAGTGTCAGAGGGATGGACAGTACAACTCCAGTTGCACCCATTTCTCCAAACTGCTACTAAGCAAGTGAAGGCAATGCCTCAAAGAGAGGGCTGGAAAGTGACTTCTTCAGTGGTGTTTGAAAATTGCATCTACAGGACACTCACTAGCAAAAGAGTTTTCCTGATTCTTCTTTGCACCAATTTTTCCTTCTGGTTTTTCTCTTTATGCTAATTTTCAGATTAATTCGCATGGGGAGGAGGGGTGTGGAGAGCTGAGAAGAGAACTGGATAATAAAAAGTCTCTGAACGAGAAACTAGAGGCATTTATAGCTAAATGGATGAACATTGAGGTGATACTCTTAAGTGACATAAATAGGACACACGTGTAAATACCGAATAGTTTCTCTGGTGTGAGAAACTGAAAGTGTAAATAAGGATTAAAATGATTAAAACAAATAACTGATAATTTGAAATAGGAAAAAAAGGTCCAAAGGGGTAGGGGAAGTGGGAGGAGAAGAGGAAAGGAAAGAAGGGAAAGGAAAAATTATGAGAAAAGGAAAAAATGGAAACAAAGTCTTTGTAAATAGGAAAGGGTGGAGGGGGTGAAGGGAGGCCAGGTAATGGGGAAAAAATAAGAACCAAGATGCATCAGGTACAAGTACAAGCACTCAATGATAAATGTAAATGTATTGTACACCTACAATGTACCAATAAAAGAATTTAAGCAAAAAAAAAAAAGTTTCTGACTTGCTCTGCTTTGTTAAGTTCGATTTTCTTATAAGGTGGCTTTCTCATTAAGTTTTTCCTTTTCTGACAAAAAAACAGGAGATGGTTGCAAATTCCAACATCATTAAGATATAACTTACTTTCAACTGAAAGGTGAAATATTGGGCTGCCTAATCACAATTTCTAAACTTATTCTATTGTTCTTGGTAAATGCTTAGTGGGAGAAATGCAGAAAAATGTAAGTATGTGGAAAAGGTGAGAAAAATAAAACCCCAAATCTAGAGTTTTTGAGTTATTTCATCAGCATATGATGAGGTTGCCACATTAATGCCATAAAATATTTAGGTAGTAACATGTGCAAATTAAAATAACTATTTTGTGCTCTATTCTCAATATAATCTCAATTACTTTTACCTGATTACAGATTTTTTCAAAAACTTTAAAGACGTACTTTGAATTTCAATAATCTTCTGTAAAGAAGCCACAGCATTCATATTCGGAGTTTGGTGGAGAATATCTTCAGCAAGCGGTTCCAGCTGCAAGAATAGTAGAAAAGAATATGAGCAGAATATTATGAATTTATAGTAGGTTTCACACAAGCAGAGCCAACTGAAAAATGTAATCCTCAGGAAACTCTTGCTCCAAGAACTACTTAACATTTTACCGATATCACTTCTACATAGCCAGTTTTATTTTGTTTTGGACCGATGTAATTAAATTCCAAGGAGGTTTTCTATTGGGCATGAGATTAATCTATTAAGTTCCTGAAGCAGGTGCATGTCTGTGTATTAGTCATTTAAAATCTGAGTTATTTGTGTAATTTCTGTAAGTTCTTCACAAACCAAATTCCATCATGTCTACATCTGCAGCTGGGCCCTGCCAAACAAAATCTCAGGAAAGTTTCAGCAGACAGAGTGGGCAGTCTATTATCTATATTTCTGCAGCGTTTGTACATCTAACCACCTTACACATTCGAAACACTTCACTGTGGAAACACATGAGGCTAAAGCTCTTATTCAGATACGATTTAATAAAGTAATGGAGAAAGTCTTTGAATAAAACCAAGGTAAAATGTCACATTTTCATTTAACTTCTTATTCATAAGTGTACTGATGGCTGCCTGTAAGCACAGGACAAATTCCTTTCTTGCAAATAGATCATGATCTTCTGGAATTACACTGATTTTTCATGGAGGGGCTCAGCAAACATTACTTTGCAAGAAATGAAGAGGAGCTTTAAATAATTTATGGAGGGTATTTGTCAAAACTAAGTCTGATGATGCATCTCTGGGAATGCTTGGGTGATGAGCTTGGCAGGTTGCAGGATACTTACAAACAAAATAGCCATCCAGCTCAGTGACCCAGAAAGCAAAGAAAATTAAAGCAACAGAAGGATTCACAAAAAAGTAGTTTCCCTAGAAAACATAAAGTTAATAGTCTCGAATAAAAGCTGGTGTTTATTATGTGCCATGAAGGGGAACTCCTAACACTAGTCGTACCAAGGAATGAACTCATCAGCGTCTCTTCATCTATAGGAAAAACTAAAAAAGGTAGGGATTACAAGTTTCCACAGCATATGTGAGTGCATCTTCCCCCCAGGGCCTCTCTGAATTGATTATTCTACACTTCAATCATGGAATCTAAAACAATAGCACCTTTCTTCCAGATGCCACAGGATAACAGACTAGCTCAGGGATATTTATATGCGAGTACATTCAGCAAATATAACTTTCCGGAGTGTTTTTCTTAGCCGCCAGAGAAAAACCTTTAAAACATCCAAAGGCTTATGTGCAATACAGTTTGAGGAGGGGGAAAAATTACCACCCTCACTCAGTGTCAGTGAAAGGTTCTGAAATCTCAAACTCTTAAAATTTGCTAAAATAATTTTTTTTCAAAATCTGGTATTTCAGATCATATCTTCAAGAATATGTTATCCTTGTCACACCCTCAGAACCCAGAGGAACTACTGAATCATACACTGGAGTTTACTTGGAAAAAGCTTGCTTGAGAATTAGACAGGGTTGAGTGAGCCACCGTCTCATAAATAAGCTTTTCTTTCACTTCTTTCTCAAAGCTTAGAGAAAATATTTTTTTTATAGAATTCAGGTATGTTTTACTAATAAAATATTTTAAAACATCAAATTCAAGGTAATGTCTATCACAAGTGTAAGTCCAAGCACAAAGTGATGTCACCCTAACAAGCTTCCCTTTGACTTCAGAGAAAAAATGCTAACAAACTGAAAGGCTCTGGCTCCTGGAAGGAAGGCTGCAGGCAGAACACAGACCATAGATACAAAAACCTAACTGCTGGGACTGTCTGTCACACATTGAGGTCTTTGGGCTTTTTTGAAGATGTGAGTTACATAAGAAGTCTACATGGTTCAGGGTGTTGAGAGCGAAAATACAAACAACCTTGAACCCAAAAGTTGGAATCTTCACTTAGATATGAAAAAGTTTTGCCTACTTATAAAAGCAACTCAAAGGATTAAGGCAATTAAATCGATCATTTAAGACCCACAAACCTTTCCCTCCATGTTTTCGGTGGACGTCATTTAAAGGATTTAACCTTCAGTAAATTGCCCCAATTTGTTTCATTTTGAGTATATACACAAAGACAGAGCTGAATTCAGAAAACTCTCAATGTAGGTTCTTTATTTTTTCTCCGGTAGCTATGCAGAAAAGGCAATGGCTAACACTCTCCCAGCTGGCAGGAAGACAAGCAGCATTTAGAGCATGTTTTCATAAAATTAAATCCTCATATGGAGGGACCATATATTTGAGATGTGTTTTTTAGAGAGTTTGTTGATTTAATCACTCACAATTATAAGCACTAGAGCCATCTGATTGAAGCATCCATTTGATAAATATTTATGAGTAGGTCATTATCAGTAATCTAATAACTAAGTAATGAAATAATATTAAATAAATAGTAATTTTTTATAAATTTGGTGGAAAAATTAAGAATATGCAGTAAAGCTATGTTAGGCATTTAGTTTGGCCCATAAGATTTAGCAAAAATATTAACTATTGTGGCTAATCAGAATTAATAAAAGATAAATAAGGAAGAAATTTATGCAAACCAGAGAACATCTGCATGCAAAAAATTACAGTAAGATAAAGCAGATGTAAGAACTATCACATACTCATCATGTTATCTGTGTTGAGCAATTCCATTAAGTAATGATAACTATCATGGAGGTATTAAGACACACTCTATAATCTGAACACAACCTCTTGACATACAAAGCTCTCATCCAGCTATGGTAGATACAAAGCTTAATCACAATCACTGCAGCAATTCTTCATACAAATTTTCAAGCTCAGTGACAGGAAAATGTATTTTTCTACATCTTTTACAGAAAGTTTGGATACTGTATTGACACAATTCAGATGTTTGTTCAGTTGCACATACCATGTGATTTCTAAGTACTAAAGCTATTTTAAAACACCCTAAAATTTTGGCCATTATCATCTGTGAATAAGTAATTTTCAGGTTCTTTAGAATCAGATAATTTAGATCATGAAAAATCATTTTAGTTGGCTAGGATCCATATGTGAAAAGAAGCAAGGGATATCCTTGGAGAAGCTCTTGATTAAGAGTTTTAAAGCACTCTGTACTTATGAGACAGAAAATCACTCACTGTTGTTTTCATGATTCAAAACAGAATGAAAAATAGTTAAACGAAGTCCTTGAATATGTAACAGTACTTGAGGATGGATGTATAACTCATGCAAGCAAAGCATCCACTAAGTACTCTTGTTACCTTGTATGTTGTTTTGGTGTTTCCCTAACATGTCAAGGATTTTCATACTTCTATACTTTTACTTATTTTGATCCCTCTGACCTTTATTTCTTTGTCTCCATCTTTGAGTTGAAACCTTACAAATCATTCAAGGACTAGCACTAACATTTCCTGATAAAGCAAATTATCTCTGCCTCTGTGGCATCAACCCTACATACATTATATCGTAGTCAACCAAGGCTACCATTCTCTACTTTGTTATGAGTCATTTAAAGACAAAGACAGAGTCTGGTACATGGTAGCATTTAAAAAATGTTGACCGAATGGAAGAAGGATTAATTGAAAGGAAGCATGAAGCGGTAGTCTTCATTTGTTCTCCACAACTAACATACCTAAGTAAAATAGGTCCTTCGTCTTGTTTGCCTGTTGTAATCAGGGAATGTTTTTAAGGTGACAGGCCAGAAAAACAACAGTGATAATTTATTTTGGCTTCTAAGGTAGACTTGCCTAACTTGGGACAGTTATTTTCTCCTCTGTGTTTGCAAGGTTGCCTGACATAGAGACAGGTATTTCCCCTAATCCGATGTGCAGAGAAATGGAAAAAAAAACACGCCCAGAGCAAACAGAGGCAAAATGGCAGTGCCAAAAATTAAAAGAAAAAAAATGATCATTCCCAATAGAGTAGCAATGAAAAGTAATTGTATGAAGACAAAATGAAATGAGACTTAAAAGGCACTAATTTATCTTCAGTCCTATTTGGGGAGAACTGGGATCTTCACGGCATCCGTACTTCTAATCCACATACAAGGTATATTTTAAAAATTTAATTGAATGTTTGTTAACTTCTCTAAAAACATTTTACAATTTTATAGTTGGGAGTATGTTTCAGATAGATTTATTTGAGGCATTTGGTATGTTGAAGCTTCTGTAAAATGTACATACATAGGTGTGTATGCACATATATATCTTTACATAAAATACATAAATATAATTCGTCCTACAAAGACAGAATTGCACGATATGTATTGTATAATTCCTTGTTAAGTAAAGGAAGCTTGAAGTCTAGGAATAGCTTACTAATAAAATACAAAATGTCTATTCTTTTTTCCACTCTATGAGATGGAACCTAAGGCCTTGTACTGAGCATGCTCTCCCACTGAGGTACACTTCAGCCTTTTGCATTTTCTCTTATATTTATATCTGTTTTAGCATATAATTTTATTTTTTGAAAAACTTTCAGAGATAATAATAGATTTATAGACTTGTAAAAGTAGTACAGAATTCCAAGGTTAGGGGAAACTTCACCCAGTTTTGCCTAATATTAAATAGTTACATAAAGCCAGTACTTTATATTTTTAAACTTTATTTCTTGCAGTTATGGCAGGTATATAAGTATATAATTGATTCCCAATTGACTTTTTAAATGTTTTGAAATTTTCATTGATTTTAATTAAATTTTAATTGACTGCCAACCTTTTAAAACATATGAAGTAATGATTAGATGAAAATAATTTTATAGATTTTCTACACACACAATCACATATCATCTGTGAATAAAAAATTTATTTCTGTCAAATTTGTAGTTGTTATTTCCTTTTCTTACCTTACTATGGTATATGATTCACACTGCAATGTTGAAATGAAACAGTAAAAATATGTCTTAGTTTTTATTTCAAGGAAAATAATTTCATATATCATCACAGCATTGTACATAATACCTTCAAACCTCATAGGCATCAAAAGTAAAACAGAAATAAAATACAGCATTTTCCTAAATTTTTAATGTAATAAAAC